CAGATCAGTGACAGTTTGGAAGATCACTAGGATGGCAAGGATGTTTAGTACTTGATCGTGTCTTGCGTCACAGAAAATCAATGTGTCATCAGCGTACAGCAAATGCGTCATCATCAATTTGTAATCCGGTAAACGGTTTCCGTTTTACCGAACCGGTAACCGGCGGTAAACGTATCGACAGCCGAGCGGGAAGTTGGGGGAGTCAGTTTACCGGACACGGTATCGGTAAATACCGACGGTAAATCGGTAATACCGATACCGAAATCCCCTCTCCCTACTCCACTAACATATAACATATACATCATTATTCACAAATATAAAATATTACATACATGAATGTAAGTAAGTATAGGCCTCGAAAATATTGTAAATAAGAGTTAATAATAAATTATTAATTACAAAAATGATGAAAAAAACTCAAAAAAATCAAAATATTACATCACCCCACTTCCAGAAATTCGGTTCGGTAAATATTCGGTAAACCGCCCGAAATATCTTCTCATGGTATTTTGGTAATACCGGTTTGTAACCATTTACCGGTAATTCGGTAATTGGTAAACCGGTTACAAACCGGTATCGGTAACCAATTTGACCAACTTCGGTATACCGAAACCGATAAATTCGGTAAACAATTTACCATTTACCGACCGAATCCCACCCCTAATCCTGGGGAAATAGGATCGCCTTGACGGAGACCCTTAGAGGCCAGGAAGAAGCCATTAGCCTTTTCGTTCACTAAGATAGAAATGTTGTACGAGAACATCGAACCTTTGATCCATTTCGACCATCTTTCCGGAAAACCCATCGACTCCATTATCTTCAGAAGGCACCCCCAATTCACGTTATCGAAAGCTTTTTCGATATCGAGCTTGAACATAAGACCTGCTCTTCCGCTTGATCTCCACTACCTCGTTTGCTAAAAGACCCGCCTCCGCTATTTCTCTCCCTTTAACTGACGAGTGTTGTTGTTTTGATATAATCTTCGTCAGAATGTCTCCCAACCTCTTCGACAACACCTTATTAATCAATTTATTGATGCTCCCAATCAGGTTGATCGGCCTTAGATCTTTAATCTCCTCAACCACATCTTTCTTAGGAGCCAAGCAAACGAAAGAATGGGTTACACACTTCGGGAGAGAACCCGTTTCATGGAATTCCTGAAAAACCTTCAGAATCTCGCCTTTCAAATATGCCCAGCAGCGTATGAAAAATTCCATTGTGAATCCGTCTGGACCCGGTGCCTTGCAGCCGTCACTATCACTCAAAGCCTTCCAAATCTCCTCCTCGGTAAAGGATCGACACAGAAGACCCCTATCTAGGTCATCGAGATGTTTCTCCCACTCCCATCTAGGGAAAGGCCGAATAAGCCAATCTTCTTCGAAGAGTTTTTGGTAGAATTGAACGAGACCCGTAACAAACCTAGCAGGATCTTCCTCCATCCGCCCCTCAATCTTAATTCTTTCCACTTTGTTGACCTTCCGTTTGTAGTTCGCCATCCGATGGAAATACACAGTGTTCTTCTCCCCTAACTTGACCCATACTTCTCTAGATTTTTGTCTCCAGAAAATCTCTTGTAGATAAACCGCCTTTTTCAATTCGAGCTCCAGCTTAACTCTTTCTTCTTTCTCGCCCTCCTGCAACACTCTAACTTCTTTGCCTAATTCCAACTCCTTGATTTGCCCAAGCAGATCCTCCACCCTTTTGTCAATATTCCCAAATGTCTCTTTATTCCAAATCTTCAACTTGGCTTTAATATAACTCAGCTTCCTAGCAAACAAAAATACAGCTCCTGTCCCCTGAATGTTCTCACCCAGCCAGTTGCTTAGTTCTTGATAGAATCTTGGATCTTCTAACCACATATTCTGAAAACGCCATGGCCTTTTAATTTGCTTATACTCCCCCCACTTCACAACTAGTAGATTATGATCAGATTCGATTCTCTCCATAGCCTCCAGAGAGCAATCTGGGTATGTACGATCGAACTCATGAGAGATCAAAACTCTATCAATTCTAGATAAAGACCTCCCATTCGACCCGTGGCTCCAAGTGAAATTGCAGCCACCAAGTGGAAGGTCCAGAAGACCATTGCTATCAATGAACATATTGAACTCGCCCATAAGCTCTGAACTGCGTCTTGACCCGATATAATCAGAGTGGCTTCTGACCAAATTAAAATCCTCGGCTATACACACGGGCATTGACTGCTGTTGACAACACCTGTGAAGCTCCCTAAGAAATTCTAACTTTTTCTGCTTCTCCTGCGGACCGTAAACCACTACCAGTTGCCAATCAATACGACTGCTCAAGTCCCTCGATTCTATTGTAATGAAGTGATTTCCTTCCTGGAAAGCCCTTTTATCAAAAAAAGCTTTATCCCAAACCACCGCAATCCCTCCGGAACTTCCCCTCGCGTCTTTAGATACCCATCCCCAATCCTTTCTGCCGAAAACGCTTCTAATCAACCTTTCTGAGCATTGTGCCCACTTTGTTTCCACTAAACCCACAATCTTAGGGTTATGTCTTTCAATAAGGCGCTTGACTCTGCACCTTTTATCCCCATCGCCCAGTCCCCTTACGTTCCAAATACACATATTCGTGCTCATTATTTAACAGTCGATAGAGTACCTACCTTTCCTTTCCGGCACTTTCTCGGTCCCGTCGGAGATGGCTCCGTTGGTCCCAGACGATGGTTTTCCATTTCTAACTTAGATCTTGTGTTTCTGACCTTCCTCTTGTCCATTTCTTTCGCTGCTTGTGAAATCATCTTATCCGCCTCCCCCTCACCGTCGGTACCTTCTAGGCTCAAGACTCTGCCGATTGATTTGCAAACGTCGATCAATATCTCTTCGTCGAACGGAAACAAATCTGCATTACACTCGCGGCTCGAGTCACTGATAATACACGATGGAGAGGGAAATTCATTACACGCAACCATCGAAGCTTCCATGTCCAACGAGACACCCGTCGGAGTTTGTGGCACCCAACTCTCTAAACTAGCGTCGATCAATTCCTCCGATTCAAAGCTTGAGGCGAAGTGGGAATTCTAATCGCAATCTGAGGAGAGAATTTCGTTGAAGTCAAAGGACTGCCCAATTCTTTCTTTCTTGGGTAATGACTGAGCTTCCGACCGAGTTGAGATGTAGCCCAACCAGACAGGCTTCCAAAGCCCAGGCAGACCAAGAAAGATTCCTTGACCGTTATTATCTCTAAGCCCAACTTCAGTCCAGCAAAATCTCATTACTTCAAATGCCTTCCATGGGGACCCAACATAGAGCTCCCTCATAAGGCCCAAATAATTTAGAGGTTGCCTCGAAAAATTGGGCCTAGAAGCCCCATACCTGATGACCTCTCTCTTTACCATCTCTTTCTCCTTAGGAACATGATTCGCGAGCCGCACCGGGCCTTCTTTCCTAATCCATCTTTTCACAACACCCTGTCGGCCCAAAGAGTTCATATTCTTTCTCTGCTTCTCATTCACCCCTGAAGAATTTTGCGGACCGCCTCGAGCCCCTCACCTGCTCCATGCATGCGTATTCCTCGTCCCATCCCCCAACGATACGCCCGTTAGCCCTGACTCTTCGTCTACCTTCGCGCGTTCTCCCCTTTTCCGGCTAATCCCAGGCGCCGGCGGCACCATGATTCTGACCTCGAACCGTTGATTTCCATCTCTCAGAATAACCTTCTCTGGTATATCCTTAGTTTTCATAATCCTAATTCTCACAAAAGGGAAGCACCACAGGTTCCAATCAATCTCAAGAAATCTACCACAGAAATTTCTGATTATTTTAATAAGCTCGATGCTCTTGAGGTGCAGAGGAATATCAGTAGCCAGGATCCAAGTTGACTCCCCGCCTGTAGGGATGGCAAAACCGGCCCACCTCGATGGGTTTGGCCCAGCCCGGCCCACCCCATTATGGGGCAGGTCATACCCGACCCGTCCACAAACGGGGCGGGTCTTGGCCCGACCCGTAATAGTTCAGGCCAGGTCCAGGTACTAAGCCCACCCCGACCTGTCCCTGCCTCGCTTCGCATCTGCTCTCTCAATAGTCAATACCCATATGTGAATCGTCGACACCAGCTCAATCTTGGAAGTTGGCAGAATTAATTCTCAATCTCCCTCTTTTCTCTCACCCAGCACCCACGCATGGAGCCTTTGATGCTCGTTTCCCAACAAGTTCCCACTTTCCCAGATCCATAGTCGTTTGCTTCTCCCTTTCTCCGTTTGCTTCCCAATTTCCCAAATCCATCGCCATTTCCCAACGATTAATCCCTTTCAAACTCGACTGGTCGAACTTCAGCCAATGCCTCGTCTTTTGAATCCAAATCTAACCGCAATCTTAACAGCCCAATCCCTAGATATTATATAAAGGATGATTGATAGATCTTCTCACGCACTTCTCCTTCTCCACAGATCCAAACCAAGAGATTCAATAGGTAACAAATTGATTCTTTTGGTATTTGGTTGTTGGCTGGTTCAAGCAAATGTGCCAATACTGTCCTACCACCCAATAGTTGGCTACGACTTCATCATAAGAAACATGCATAAGTGTGCTTTGATGTGCAGGGATTAGAAGGAGCTTCCTACTTTTCAATTTTTTGTCCTCTGCCTAGGCTTCCCCTTCCTTTTTGGTTTACAGTTATATCTTTTGTTTATGTCTCATGTTTCTCGCAGTACTCTAGTAATGCTTGTATAACCATGTTGTCTTCTTTGTATGGGATTTACCATTTAGTTGTATGATTGTGTTCAATTAGCTAGCTTTGCACTTTCATATTTTGATGTTTATGTCGTCCATATGTAATTTATGTGTTCTGAATACTTCTGATTTTGCTATCCTTATTTGTGCTGCTATATGCAGCTTTAATAGCATAGCCAAATCTTATTTATTATCAGTTTCTCTTTCTATTTGATGCATTATTGGGTTTTTTTTTGTATCAATCCCTGCAAGCTGCAACTTTGTTTTTACTTTTCATCTTTTTTATTTCGTGTTTCATATATGTAGGTTGTAGCAAGCTACACAAATGGAAACTGGTGGAGCTATAGGCAAAACACGCTCTGAAGTGTGGTCTCATTTTGACCAAATACAAGTTGGCGAGAAGAGGAATGCAATGTGCAAATACTGCAACTATTGGTTGGCTACACATCCCAAGCTAGGAACAATTCATTTGTGGAGGCATTTGGATAGATGCACAAAACGAAAGGTATGGTGCAGTGTAGGGCTGGCATTTCGGTTTGCGGTTAGCGGGTAACCGCCGGTTTTAACCAAAAACCGCCGGTTACCAGCTAACCGAAAATCGACCGGTTACCTTGACGATCGGTGGTCCGATGGGAAAAGGAAGGGGTCGGTTGACCGAGTAACCGACGGTAATTAAATGTTGTTATCAGACTAACCGGGCCAACCGAGACCCACTTAACCTTCCCCAAAATATGTCCAGATTCATCTCTATTCCCACATCTTAAATCAAAAAAAAATTCACAAATACAGGAAGAAGAAGAAGCAGATCTACACTGCCGCCGTTCGTCATCGTAATCACCGCCATACTGCCGCCTCGCAGCGCCACCAGCACCCCACGACCCGCCATCGTCGAAATCATCCCGGCCCCTTCCGAGAGGAGGGAAGTTCTGGGCTTCGCGGTGACGGATTCGCGGAGACTAGGGAAGCTCTGGGCCGCCGAGGCCGAGCGCGAGGTAGAGGAAATGGAAGCCGCCGCAGCAGCCTCATCCGTCGCCGCCACTGCCGCACCGGCCTCATCTTCTGGATAAGACGAGGGAGAGTGAGAAAGAGCAGAGAGAGGGAGAGAGAGAGAGAGGCTGAGTTCCACCGTTGTTCCCATCGCCGTCAACGGAGAGGCAGAGGGAATGGCGATTGAGGGAGAGGGCAGAACGAGAGAGGTGAGGGAGGAGGCGATTTCGGCTTGGCAGGCAAGGGTTTGTCGGCGGGTTTCTCTGGAAAAGGAAGAAGAAGAATCGAGAGAGTAGAGAGAGCAAGGGTTAGCGCCTTAGCGACGGGTTTCTCTGGAAAGGAGATTTTGATTTTAGTGCGAAGAGATCTGGTGGAATGGAGGAAGGAAGGAGAGAGGAGGAGATAAGGAAGGAGTGGTGGAGATTTTTTTGTTTTATTTAATTAATTTTTAGTTTTTTTTGTAGAAAATGTAATTTTTTCGGTTGGCCGGCTAACCGAGCCTAAAACCGGAACCGACCGGTCGATTGGCTGGCTAACCGTGACCTCTCTTCGGTCGGTGGTCGGCAGCTATAGAAGGTGGCTCGGTTTAACCGATAACCGGGTTTTCGGTTTTTGGTTAAACCAAAACCGACCAACTGCCACCCCTAGTGCAGTGTTCTTGTATTTATTCAACTTGTCATATAATCTGGTTTACATGTCAATGTATGATAGTCGTTGATTCATGTAATCTATATATTTATTAAATCCTGAAATCTTGGTATAGTATTAAGAAGGATTGCCTCAGCATATCTGACCTTCAGAAGGTAGCTATGATGCAATTTGTAGTTAGTTTGTTAGTTGGTCATGAACTGATTGATGTATTTAGAATTTGTTAAATTATAAGATAATGATTTACCGTGAAACTGGTGTTGCAGCCTGCACAAATAGCAGTATCGGTTGAGGTTCAGATTGGGTCTGAAAAGGAAACCAATGACCATGCTGATAATGATAATTGAGGTATGATTCTGGTGTCAAGTTTTCATATTCATTCTCTCTAGTTCAACTTATGTGTATGTTGTATCTGTTAGTAGCTAATTATGATTAGGGGATGGTTTTATTCCATTTCTACTTTTGCTCATATTGCTTTTTGTGTTAATGAAACTTGCAGACTGTGGCAGCTTGAGATGAGTGAGTGAGTGATACAACCTGCAGAAGTGAAGGTCTTGATGAACTTGAAGTATGAAATTGCATACATTGTGATGGAGCTTAATTAGTTTTGTTGCTTTTTTTCTTTCGAAGAACATTTGCAGATTCATTTTGGTTTGAGTTGAATGGTGTCATTTACCTAAATACAATGGGATGATTCAGTAATCTTTTTTTTTTTACTTTGGACCCATGAAATTTCAATGTTATTATTTGTTCTTTGAGAAGCATGGGGCAGGGCGGGTATGACCCGCCCCGTACAGGGCAGGGCATGGGTCAGAAGAGCATTACCCATGGCAGGTCGTGGGGCAGGGCGGGGCGAAAATCAAATGGGCAGGGCAGGTCTGGGTAGTGCACTACCCAACCTGTTCTGGACCCATTGCCATTACTACCCGCCTGGAGTTTCCTCCTCATCTGTCCAGCTTACAATCAGAGACTTTACACCTCTGTATTGAAGATGATTCAGCTTTCTTATTCTCCCATCCTCGGCCACACTTGGACACACCAGGAACCAGCTTCCATCGGATCTATCTTCAATACCAAAATTGTCATCGATCGCCCAATTTCGAACTGCCCGTCTTCTAAAATCTGGGATATCTTCCGATGCGAAAGAGTGATCATCACCCCACCTTATGATTAAGCTTCTCCCCAGAAACTCAGCTCTTTATTGTACTCCCTCTTTCCCTACTACTATACACCGGTCTGAACCATTCCCCATTATTGTGCACTTACCAGCCCCATAGAAGCCCCCTCCCTTGACTGCCTCTGCATACGATTTTGCGTGTGGTCTCTCCCTTTCATACTCTGTTTCCGACGGGCGCTCTACCACTGCGTTCTCGTAGGAGTTTTGGAACTTCAATTTCAATTCTTCTCTATAGAAGTTGCTTAACATGTATATGATAGGAGCCCACCCTCTCCGATGACTATCTTATGGAATGATAACTTTATAAGTTCTACCGTTCCTTGCCTGTTCTGATATCTGGATGTACTGTCCCTGCCAATTTTTTGCACTCCCTATGTGTATCGATCTTCCCCTGCTACTCTTCACGCAACTGACTGGGAATCTCCAGTTCCTTCTTGTTGCAGTTTGAAGGACCCCCTGTATCCACGAAATAAGAACCTCATCCATCATTATACTCCACGTCCTTTCACACCAACCCACCTGCAACTTGTATCGCCTTTCCGTTCTGAACTCAATCTTCCGAACTGACACGATCTTTTCACCCATCTGAATCTGCCTTCTGCACTCACCCCTGGTTGCCGCGTAGCCTTCTCTTGACCCTTCAGCTTCCGACCTGCAAAATAAAAGACTCTCACTTTCCCTTCCCCGAAGAAACCCAGAACCTCGCCGACTCTCCAATCTCTCCAATCTCTCCCAACTCCGGCCAGCCATTTGGTTTCTTGGATGCTTTTGACCCTAGTTTTACCCCAAACACGACTGATATACCCGGAAGGAGGTACTGTTTTTCATGCTAACAATTTTTTTGTTAGCACCGCAACCCCTCCCTCTTTTATATTTGATAATATTATTATCTAATTTGTTTTATTTTTAAAATTTTATAAACGATAGAAAATTACATTTTCCAAAATAAAATTAAAAATATGATAAGGAAAGTATTGTATTTTCAAAATAATTTTTGTCTTTTTTTTGTCAAAAGATAATATATATTAATCCAAACAAATAGATAGTTACATCATGGAAATCAGCCAGGACAGGAAATCAAAGAAGCGACTATCAGCCGGATACAAAGAGAGGGCTTTTCTAGCTACCGAGTGAGCTACCCTATTGTTCTCCCGACCTATAAACCGCACACTAAACCCAGGATGGGCACGAAAATACTGACAATTTTTGTCAAAAGCTCCAATTCAGAGTTTTTGCTTTTATGTTATGCAAAAACAATTTTTCAACTTTTCAAAAGCCGACATTTTAGAGGTGTTTTTTATCTTGCTTAATCTTTTGGAGCAGAAAAACACTTCTAAAAATTAAGCCAAGCACAAACATAATTTTCTTTTTTGATACAAACCGAACATGTACGTTTAACATTCGAAACACCAATCCTTTAGAACATCAATACGATTAATAGCATACTAAAAGGCTCCCAAAACTAGATTTGTCCTGCCACAAACACCTTGCCTCCCTCTGTGGATCTAGTAACATACGATTCACCATGTAAGAAACTCAATCTGGAACAGCAAACTGATATGAACCACACTTGCTAGCTACCAGTAAGAACCCAAAAAAAACAACGCGAGGACTGGTTTCATTTTTTACATTGATGTACTCTTGAAGAAACTCTGAATATCAAAAACAGGACTGGAAGACATGTTTAGACAAACAAAACTCAGCTTTCTCTCGAGACAGGGACGACTACTACTCTAAGCACCTCGTTTTTATTATTAGCTCATAAACTACTCGAACACACTCTCTATCTTTCTCTCTTCAACTCTCATTGTTACGATTGCAACCCTGTACACAAGCCAAAAAAACAGCAGACTGAATCAGTCCATCAGCTTCTCTTCTCTGCCCATACAATTCCCCTCTGTTTCAGAGCACTTTCCCCTGCCTCATAAAATTCCACCTGACTCGCAAAGAGAACCAACAAGGGGGGCAAAAGGGGGAATAGAACAAGCAGCCCAGCTTCATATTTTTCATCATCATCAATTGGTAGCTCCAACTCCTAGGAAATCGATGAAATGGAAGGTCATGATCTCCTCATTCCCATTGTCACCATCACTTGTTCTGATTATCTTCTCTCGCCTGAAGCTTTTCCCGCCGACGGTTCCAACTGACCCGCTGCTCTCAGAATGATCCGACCCACCACCGGATTGGTTCACGCCGCTGCCATTTTCCTTGTCATGATTTGACCCATTGCTGTAACAGCTGTGGGTATTGTTGCTGTCTCCGGATCTCTTCATTATGATTACCTCCTTTTCTGCACCCACAACAGCATCTACATTTGCCGCCCATAACCCAAAGTCAGACCACAATTATTTTGGCAGAGTTGCTAACATTGCGCGTTGATCGAAATCGCTATGGTTAGAAAGGGGGAGAAATAACCAGAACGAAACACTTGAAAAAGGGATCTACTAAATTACCCATTTGTTGTTTCGCCGGTGGGCTGAACCTGGAGAAGGGTAAGTGAGGAGTCGCTCTCTTGTTGGAGGAAGGTGTGAGGGATAGATCGGTTGTACAAGTGGATCGATCGCCGCTCGTCGTCGTCGATTCGCTGCCGTTTTGGTGAACGGTGGTGAATCTTTTGTTTGGGATCGGTAACTGACGAGATTGGGAAGCAGGGGAAGAAACAGGGGAAACAGAGGAAGAAGGAGGAGGAGGAGGAGGAGAAACTGGCTTTCGCCGGCGGTAGACGTTGGATTGCTCGCGCTGCCGTCTGGCCATGATGACGTGCCAGTGGTTCTTGACGGCATTGTCGGTCCTCCCCGGGAACAGCCTGGCGATCATCGCCCATTTGTTTCCGTACACGCGGTGAGCAGCCAGAAGCCGGTCTTCTTCCTCCTCGCTGAATGCCCTCCGGTTTATTCTTGGGTCAAGCTGGTTGAACCACCGCAGCCTGCAACTCTTCCCTGCCAAGTTTAAAAAAATGAAACTGAATCAACAAAAGCGGTTTACTTGTTCCGTATTTTCCCCCCTTTTCTCCACTTGGTCAGTTAGATCGGATTACCTGATCTTCCTTGGAGATGCTCAGCGATCAAGTTCCAGTTCTGAGGGCCGTACTGAGAGACGAGCTCTTTGAGCTTGGAGTCTTCAGCGGGTCGCCAGTGTCCTCTAGCACAGAGCTTCTTCCGGCTGCCATTTCTGCCGGGAGCAGAGTAATGCTCTGCTTCCCCTGCTTCTTCTTCTTCTCCTTCTCCTTCTCCTCCTTCTTCTTCATCGTTTTCGTTTAAGTCCAGAGAAAGGCTCCAGAACGGCCGCTTGTTCTGACCCATAACCAGCGCCGAACTGCCCTCGGTGGGAATCTGAACCACCATTTCAGCTCTGGGAAGAGAAAGCTGAGGAACAGGGGAAGGAGACGAAAGAGGCGGAAAGTTCGCTCCTTTATGATGAAATACGCGAAACCCAGCAATGGTTTGAATGTTTCTGGGCAGTTGTTGCTGCTGGGGACTCATTTTCCCAGTTCCCAGATCGCCAAAAGAAAATTTTGAAAGCGAAGAAGGGTAAATGGGGATAGCAAAACAGAGGAGGAAGGATCGGAACTTAGAAGCAACAGAGTAGCATTTGCAGGGTGAAGGGAAGGAGGAAATTTGAAAATGGAAGAAGGCGAGTGAGAGAGGAAGGAGAGATGATTCGAGGGGAAGATATAGAGGAAAGTGTGGGGGTGGGAATCGTTTGTGTGCATGGAGATCGAGAACCGCTCGTGTGGGTTGGGTGTGCGTGCGGGTGTCACAGAAACCAAACCAAAAAAAAAACAGAGTACACAGAGAGAGAGAGAGAGAGAGAACAGAGAGCAGAGAGTTAGAATGCTTTTGGCGTTTCTGGGAATTGGCGTTTCTGGCCTCTTTTCGGTTATATTTTCTTTTGCTTTTTGTGGGGTTTGTTTAATATATATTTTTTCTGCCTTCTTGGGGTTTGGGGGAAGAAAAAGAGGAACAGAATCTGTTTGTCTCTTTCATAAAGGCTCCAGCTTTTTTCTTGCCAGAGGGCAATTGGCAAAAGACCAAAAAGAGGGGCAAGCCAAGGAGGGAGAGAATTGGGGAAAACGGATGCATGTAATATATCAAGGAGGACTACTTGCTATTGTACCATCAAAAGGGTTCCCAAAAGTTTTTGTTTTTATTTTTTGGTCTTTAAAGTACATCATACCTTTGAATGTATGCATCCAAGAATTTGCCATTTTCGATTTTAAGTGTTCATTGTAAGGATTGAAAATCGTACTATTCTGGTGTTTTGATTGAAAATTTTCTTATCAAAGGCTAAATGGTAGGCGATATTGAGCTATATGAAATGACCGAACCACAATTAAAGCACAATTTCAGTATAAAATACTATATTGCTAACTTTTCATATATAACCTTTGATACGATTTTCAATTCTTGGTTTATTGTTCTCCAGTTTTAAAATTGCAAGTCTCATCATATCAGTTTGAGCAGCAAGTTGATCAACTTTGGAAGCAAATCAGCGAGCTCAGCCCCGTAAACACGTGGGAGAGGGGAGCAGATCAGGTTAGTAATTTTAGGGTGAGTAACCATAAGTAACCCATACACATCAGCATTGCATCAGTATCCCTCTCTCATGGAAAGTCTTTTATCTTGGCAAAATACACTTGTATAGTCATAACGGTAGTTGGGTTTTATCGAGGTGTTCCGAGATCTAAGACTCAAGCTTTGGCTTTTCCCTCTTGGTCACTTTCATCTCATCGATCTCGTGAAGCTTCCTGAAGAACAGTGAACTCCTAGCAGTTGGTGGAGTCACTACCCGAAGAATGGAGACGAGATGTGGAACGGTGTGAGCGAGCATAGCCAAGACTGGTTCGTACATCAGCAGTGCTGCTACCAAAATCATGGCGGTCCCTAGCTTCTTGCTGTTGCCATTGGATGTGAGTTGAGAGAGGGAGCTGGGGTGTTGATTGGGTTTAGGTTACTTTGTGGGATTAGGTTTTTTCGAAAGAATCTCGGTTTCGAGCTCTGGGCTTGTCCTCATTCATTTCGTTGCCGCTCGATTCAGTCAGCTTTCCACTTTGTCACCAAGCTCCGGCAGGTCGCTAACAAGAGCTCGGGGGGTCACTAACAAGAGCTCCGGGGATTCTTTGCAATCTATTAATGGAGATGGTAGGTGGGTCAGTGTTGGCAATTCGCTATTCGCAGGGAATGGGGGAAATTAGAAGAAAAAATTTTTATTTTTTATTTATTTCAAAGTTAATTGTTTTATAACTTAAAATGACATGGCAAATGATATGATGACCGGTCGATGACGTGTGCGATGATTAGACATCCTAGTCAGCCTAATGTTAACTTAACTGACGGAGTTCTAACACCATTAAAGTTTCTAGTGGAAATAGGTAGATTTGTCACACTACCATACAATTTTTGGGTTATTTTGTGTTTTCGGATAGTTATGGCTATTTTTGTCACAAAAGTGAAAGTTATGGCTGTACAAGTGTATTTTGTCTTTTATCTTTTCCCGTTTAATCTTTAACGGACGATTTCTTTCTCGTTTTAAGTCGAAATTTAATATTTTTTTGCACAGATAAATCAGATTAATTGTGCTCTTTAAAATGATATCCACTTTGATATTATTTTAGAACAATTTTGGCAATATAACATTTTAGGACTTTGCTACGGTGACATGCATGTCACGGTGACATGCACTTTTCGGTCGACCTCATATAGGATCAGGTCGACCTAATCTGTTGTTTCAGTGTAAAAACAGTTTCATGGTGCCTACTTTGGAGATAAACACGTTACAATTGGCTAAATGGAAATTTGAGATTAAATGCTTGTTTTGAAGCTGAAGTGTCCCTCTACACATTAAAGTACTTGGGTGCTCAATAGAAAGTCCAGAAGACCATTTTTGAACCTGACCAAAAGGCTATGCCAAAACTGAGAAACTGCCTGAAAATGGCTAAGTTTGGCAACGTGTTTGTCAAGCCTACTTTGAAGCTCAATTTGATAAGCATGGATGCGAGTCAAGTCCAGGGACCTCTACCACGTTAAATTACGTATTTTTTTATACAAAGGCAAGACATTGGATGAAAGATTGAATATCTTTAAGGCTTCAAACAAAAGGCTCGAAGTTGCTATGAAGGCTGTTTTTCTGGCAGTTTGCTTGTGCTCGAAGTCTGCCAGAAAAACAGTCTTCGTAGCAACTTCGACCCTTTTGTTTGAAGCCTTACAGATATCTAATCTTTCATCCAATGCCTTGAATTTGTATAAAAACATACCTAATTTGACGTGGTAGAGGCTCCTGTACTCGACTCGCATTCATGCTTCTCGAATTGAGCTCCAAAATAGGCTTCACAAACACGTTTTCAGACTTAACCATTTCCAGGCAGTTTCCCAGTTTTGGCATAGCCTTTTGATGAGGTTCAAAAATAGTCTTCTGGACTTCCTATCGAGCTCTCAATCACTTCAATATGTAGAGGGACACTCCAGCTTCCAAACAAGTCATTAGTCTTCAATTTCCATCTAGCCAATTGTATGATATGAATATCCAAAGTAGGCACCATGAACTGTTTTTACACTGAAAAACAGATTAGGTCGACCTGATCCTATATGAGGTCGACCGAATCCTAAATGAGGCCGACCAGATCCTATATGAGGTCGACTGAATTCTAAATGAGGTCGACCTAATCCTAACTGAGGTCGACCGGAAAGTGCAAGTCACCGTGACATGCATGTCACCGTAGGCACACTCTAAAGTTTCATTAATGAAAATGAAATTGTGTGGACAAGATGTTTTTGATAGCAGTGTAATAAAAAAGAAATCTAATAGAAATTTAGCAGTAATGTCTAACAGCAAATAGTAAATTGTGTTTTAAATATTAAGTTTTTAAGAATTGATTACATGCATGAATTGTGTTGTTTACTTTTTATAAAAACTTCTTTTTCATACATGATCAATATGTTGTAAAACTTATGATGTATGTTTTTTATAAATATATTTGATAATAGAGTAATTTGGATTCTCTCATTGTACCAAATAAATTATCCGGGTACTTATTATAATTGCTCATAATATTGATTTAATTCATCGTCAGTCACCAGCTCTATTGAAAAAAGTTATTTGCAAAGACAAGATCTACTGTTCGCCTAGACACGGAAGTACTATTCATTTAGACTCAAAATTCATGTTAACCCTCCTCCCATTGGTTCATACTCTGCGGTGGGTCCCGGTGCGCTTTGTTCAACGGGATGGTAGCGTGTTATGGATGTACTAGCTTATAATGAATAAGCACTTTGAATTATAAACAAATCGTAAGGTTCTAAATTTTTTGAGTGAGTTTGAATTTAGTATTTCTGAATTAAAATGTATGGCTGAGTGATTAAAATAACTAAATCCGAATCACCCTATCTATGCACACCACTAGTCTCTTATCGCTGGGAGTATGATTTATAAATGAAATGGGACGAGATTTGCAAAATTAAAATTGATACTTGAGTCCTGTCATTGGGGAGTGAAGAGAGCAGTTAAGCAGACTGCAAAATTGAATTGGGAAATACAGATCATGAACCAAAACCATTTTTAATGGTCTATCGTACGAGCCAAACAATACTGTATGCTTTGGTCCAAAATTTTCTAATGATCTGGTATATTTTGCTATCCCTAGATTAAGCATATGAGGTTAAGTAGTATATCTTATCGGCATTGTAGATGTTGGCAAAGGTGATGAGTTTGAATTATTGTCGCCTTTATATATTTCTCTTTTGACCGTGAGCACAGAAAAAGGCGAACTTAACTCTCATCTTGCAAACAACAAGAAGGTTTTTGGTCCACCCTCCCAACGTATTGTCTTAGAAAGCTAATTCTTCTTTACTAAGTTACCAAAATTGCAAACTTGCATGGGAGTGTTGCATTTGTAAAGATGGCCAATTCAAAAAGAGAACGAAAAGAAAACCATGTACGTCAAAAGAGTAGGGAAATTTTAAAGGGTGATTGATAGCAAACTTTTCCTTTTAATTAGCCTTTCATGATTAGGTATTAACCCCCTGTTTTATTCGTTCCTCCATCTCTCTCTTTCGTTGATTAATCTCCTTTTGCTTGTACTAAATTTTCTTTTAGTTGTGGAGCTTTTGTCTTTCTTCATAAAAGGTGACAAATTCTTGTTCGTTCGTCAAGGTGGTAGGACTAACAAACCTAAAAATTTTACGGATTCACGCAAGAAGATGACCGATTGTGGACGAAATCAGTTAGGAAACGGGACAAAATATGTGCTTGTTTTTTTTTCTTGGAAGGAAGTATGGTGTACAAGATCATATGTAGTTAGATTTCTTATCGGTTCATTTAGAAACTCTTTGAGGACTTTTGTGTACTGATTTGGAATTGATATCGGTACACAAATCATCGTCGATTATAAGTTCTTTTCATCTTCATTTTCTGTTAATATGTCATTTTAGTAACTGTTGTCTACTCAAACTAGTTAATATCGTACAGTAATCATAATCTTCATCCTCGATTCAATTTTAAATTATTTGTTTCGAAATGTATCCATACCGTTTATTTTAGACCATTTAACTGGAATATATATTTTACTTGATTAGTATATATATAGAGGGAGTGATTATGAAGATGGTGCGAACTTTTAATAGGTTAAGAATTAAGATTATGGTAGAGGAGATGATATAATTTGTATTTACCTGAGTTGGTTTGCGTGACGGCCTGTCAT